TGGGTCTCGTTTATGGTTGGGGTGACCTCACCGAGGCTGCATCTCCGGGTACTGGGGCGGGGGGGAGGGAAGGGGGGGCCGCTAGGAGCTTCGGGGAACCCCGTCTGCCCCCTCCCGGCCGCGAGCGGGAGCGCACCGTCAGCTGAGTGCAGCCCCTCCCCACGCCTCCTCCTTCCACCACCTGCCGACTGCTCTCCCTTCCGATGAGCTTGGGCTCCCCTGCTCTCGGAGTAGGCCAGCCCCGGGTCTGTGTCTGTCTCCTGCCCTGCTCGTCGCCTGTCCCAGTTCCTGGTGACTGCACTGCCCGCCTTGCAGTAAATGGCCTCTCCCCATGCCCTGACCTCTTCTCCTTGGGGATCAGGTTCTCCAGAGCCACCCTCCGCCATTCTCGGCTCCCTGGAGACCCTGTCTTTATTAACACCCTCCGCACCACTGGCCCGCCAGCTTCAAGGGCCTGGTCCTCCACCTCCTGCCACTGTCTGGCCCCTCCTTCCAGGACCCTGCCCCCACAACCCATGGGCCTTCTGGTCCCTTCTCTCCTCTTTCATCAGCTCAAATGAAACGCTCAACAATTATAGTCACTTCGGTGCCTCTCTCTGCTGTAACCTCACTTGCAGGCAAAACCCCCGACCTCGGTTGGGTCCAAATCTCTGCCAATGTCCGCCTTCATCACCCAGCTGCCGTGGCTGGGGGATCATACTGGTGAGCCTGGGACATCCATTCTTGGCCCCTTTCCCTTCTCTACCCAACCTTTCCCTGGCTAATCTCACTCTCCTGCTCCCTAAGTGGTCATAATCTTAGGACTCTGCCTTCAAACAGGTAACCCTGCAGGATAAACGAATTACCTGGTAACAGAGTACGTTGTGTGTGTGTGTGTGTGTGTGTGTGTGTGTGTGTGTGTGGTGGGCAGCTAGGAAGACTTTCCTGTGGCATGTTATCTCAGGTTGAAGAGGGGAAGGGATTTGCAGAGGCAGAGAGTGGGGAGATCACCCAACATTTTCTAGACTTTCACAGTGATCAAGTCGTAGTTTGTAAGGATTCAGAGGATGGATCGGTCGCAAAGGGAATCACCTTTTCGGCATTTTCCTGTGTGGTCAAAGCATTATTTAGTTTCTACAAGGTTTAGTTCTCTAGAGGCAACACTAGGATGCAGGATTGTGTCCTCAATGTCCGTCCTGAGCAGGACGGCTGCCTTTTGAAACAAGGCAGGTTTAAGGAATCCTCTACATGATAGCATCATAAGGTATCCCCTTGTTGTTGAACCTGACCCAGGGCTGACATACTCTGGCCATGAGGTTCACCCACACGGGAGGGGCCCTGGAGTTCTGGTGAGCAGTGTGGACCCAGTGGAGGTAGGGGATGAACGTGGGGTGCCACCACCTTGCCGCCTCCTGCTGCGGGCCCTTGGGAGCCGCTCGGGTCTCCCTACACCTGGGGAGGCTTCGCGGCCAGCTCACCTGTTTCCGATAGACGTAGCACGCTGCTATGGCGACCATGGTGGATTCTCCCACAAACCCCGCCAGGAGGGAGCCCACGCCCAGGGTGGCTCCGTGTACCCTGGGGATGAGAACACAAAGGCCATCTGTCCGTTGAAGCCGTGCTGAGGCACAAATAGAGTGGAAACCCAGTGGAGAGCAGACGAGACAGGAACCAACTGCACTTGAGATCCGCCGGTAAGGGCTGCACCTAGTAAGTGGCCTGCCTGTGGGAGGGCACCTGGAGCTCTAAGGCGAGCTACCCCCCCCACCCCAAGGTCTTGGCTCCACATCTGCTGGCTGGGCCACGGGCCACGTCCCCCTTGCTCGTGAGCCCACAGCCCTTCCTGCCCTCGTCTCCACACAGAGACGGGGACTCTGAGGGTGGGGGGTGACGACTCCCTTCCTCCCTCTTGTTATTCCCCTTCTGCCTGCCACCCGCAGCAGGTGCTCAGTGAGTAGTGTGAATGGGCCTGACCCCGGAAGTATTCTTCTAGAAAGGAGCTGAGCAGCCTCCCACCTACTGGCTCGGCAGAGAAAGAGGGTATCGCTCTGCATTTCCAGCTCTAGATGTGCTCGGGGGGATGCCACGTGAAAATGCAGACGTACTTAGGTGGCAGAAGGACCCGCAGGACCCCCCCCCCGCCGACAGCATACCCCAGGTAGGGCAGGACCACGAGGCTGGTGATGAGGACGATGATCCGCAGCACAGAGCTGGGGGCCAGGACAAAGGTCTTCTTCAGAGTCATCAGCCACCCGGTGAGATGGGCCCTCACAGTGACTGTGGGGACAGCAAAGGACTCGTCAGCAACACCCCGCTTCTCCCGGTCCTCAGACTCCCCCCCGCCCCCCCACCACCCCGCGCCTCGCCAGCCTACCCGAGGTCGCCGGGCAGCTGGTGAGGACCCAGGCCTTGCTGCTGCTGCCCTGGGCTGGCCTCCGTATCTCCCTGCCGGGGTTCCTGACCCTACTTCTGGGCCTGGGATAGCCCCGTCTGGCCTCTTCGCAGCCCTGAGCATCCAGACAGCCGGGTGCGGGCACCTGCCTTTCTCCACTCTGACTGCCGGCTGTCTTTGGCCGGGCCCGGCCTGCCCCTGGGACCCCCTGCCCACCCTGTCCCTGCCCCAACCCCCTGCCCTGCCTCCAGCCCCGATCTGATTTCTCTTCTCTAAAAAACAGAGAAAAGCGGCCACTTGCGGGGGTCAGTTTTGACTGTGGGTATGAGGGGAGCCCTGTCTTCCCAGGACACCTGTGTGGGGGATGTGGCGACCAGGGGTCAGGGAGGGAAGGATGAAGCTCTCCTGATCTCCTTCCCAGCCCTCCCGGCCCCTGGAACCCCGGTCATCTCTTCTTCTCCTTCCCTAACTGTGCCCCCTTTGTTTCGACACGTCACTGTTTCTCAAAGACCTCGGTGCATTCCCCGAATCGCCTCCCCATCCACGCTAGTGAACTGGGGCGCGGGGCAGGGCGCCCGGCCTGGGCACAAAGGAGGGATGTGTGAAGCAGGGACTGAATTTGGCCTTGGAGGCCACAGACACTCCTTGTCGGGAAGAGGTGCCCTGGATGTTTGGATCGATCTGAAAGTGCAAGCGACTGAAGGAAGCTGCGGCCTAGTCGTCTGTCGCAGGGCGGGCAGCCCCGGGCTGGGGCCGAGACCTTCGTGCAGGGGGACGTGCTCACTCCTGGGGTGAAAGAAAACTCCCGTCCAGGATACATTCAAAGGGGGACTCTGCGGCCCTCCTCGTCGAACAGGGTGCCCTGCCTGCCTTCCCCGGGGGGGGGGGGTGTTGTGTTTACACAGCACAGATGCACACTTGGGTTTGGCTGAGCGAGAGGGCAGGGGCGCACGCGGAATGCTAATGGGCTTGGCCCCCGCAGGTTGCAAAGACAGCCGGGGCCTGACAGCTGGCTGGAAGGCCTTAGACTGATAGACACAGAAGTGAGTTGAGAAATTAAAAGCCACTCCACCCCCGTCCCAGCTGGACCCCCGTCCCAGCTGGAATTCTCTGGGGCCCCCAGTCCCTCCTCCAGCTGGGCCTGAGGAAGGAGCAATATGGGCCCCAATCTCCAGCAGGGGGCAGCCTCCTCGAGGTGGGGTCGCCTGGCACAGCTTGGCTCCCCCAGGGTCCCCCCGCCCCCGACAAAGACCAGACACACCACCCCACGGCCACGATCTTCCACTCCTCCGATTTTGCCACAGCTGGGAAGGTGACACCCGAGAGACCCAGCCTCCAGGAATGCTTGGCATCTGAGAGCAGGAGTGGCTTGTGACCCGGTTCGGGGATGGCGCCATCAGTCCTGACCTCCTCTAGTTCGTGGCTCATTTCTTAACTCGGGCTTTGTCAATTCTGGCTGCCCTGCTGGATGATTCGGCGGATTATTTGGGCACTAAGTTTTTTGTTTTTTTTTTTTTTAAAGATTTTTAAGTAATCTTCACATCGAACGTCGGGCTCTAACTCACAGCCCTGAGGTCAAGAGCAGCACACTCTACCCACTGAGCCAGCCAGTCACGCCTGCACCATACATTTTTGACTAATGACATGCACTTGGTATAGAATTTAAAAGGTGCAGAAGGGAATGCAGCACAAAGTCTTCCTCCCGGTCCTGACTCCTGCCTTCCGGAGGCAACCACTGTTACCAGTTTGGTGGGTGACTTCTAGGAACAGTAAGTGGGCAGGCACACGACACGCAGACACGCAGACGTGGCGACACCTTCGTCGCGGGAGAAGCGGCACACCCACCGACCATTCTGCAGCCTGCTTCGCTCCTCTCGTAAAGAACCACCTCGCTCCCGTATAGTAAGCCTCCTCCTCCTGTATCCGCTTGGGAATTTTCAAACTGGCTTAGTGTTTAGCTGTGGACACTTGACTTTCTGGCCATACGCCATCTGGCCTCAACCCTGCCCCCAGATTTTTTTTTTTAACTTTTTTTTAATATTTATTTTTGAGAGCGAGAGCGAGACAGAGCGTGCGTGGGGGAGGGGCAGAGAGAGGGAGACACAGAATCCGAAGCTGGCTCCGGGGTCCGAGCTGTCAGCACAGAGCCCAACGCGGGGCTCGAACCCACAAGCTGTGAGATCATGACCTGAGCTGAAGTCAGATGCTCAACCGACTGAGCCACCCGGGTGCCCCTAACTCTGCCCCCAGAGTCTTAACTCCAGCACAACTCTTTCTTTGCACATCGGCAGGTTTTAGTCATCGTCCACCTTCCTATTTTTTTTTTTTTTTTTTGCGTGTTACTTTTTAAATAACATATTATAAAACTGACTTCTGAGCAGACAGTTCTAAGAATTCTAACACGTGCAAAGATCTGTGTAACCACCGCCACCATCAGGGCACGGAACAGTTCTATGGCCCCGAAGACTGCTCACGTTGTCCCTTTGGGTGTGCTGTTTACCGTGTGTGCGACCTCTGACCTTGGAGGAACAAATTAGGGCTGGGCTGTCTGATTTGTTTCTTAAACTTTCAGCCTACTGGATAAAATTGTGTTTGCACGTTTCCAATCCACTGCGAAATGTTATGTTCTGTTTCGGTTTTTTTAAGTGTCAGCTTTTTTTTTTTTTAAACATTTATTTTTGAGAGAGAGAGAGACAGAGAGACAGCAAGAGCAGGTGAGGTGCCGAGAGAGAGGGAGACAGAGAATCCCAAGCAGGCTCTGTGCTGTCACCACAGAGCCTGAACTCACAAACCACGAGATCACGACCGGAGTGGAAATCAAGAGTCGGACACTTAACCCTCTGAGCCACCCAGGCGCCCAAACTGGTTTGTTCTTGTTTGGGACGTCCTTGCAGACATTTCCCGAGAAGGAAGACTGAATCGGGTATGAGGGTAAACCGGAATGTTCCTTTCATTCTGTGTCTTTACCTGGCACCGGGAAAAAGGAGAAGATACGCAAGGGGACAACGCAGAGCTCTGCAAAGGCGAAGTCCACTCCGATGATGTCTATCAAAATCTTCTCAGAAACGTTGGGGGTCCAGAACATCACGAAACAGAGCTGGGGGCAGAGAGCACAGTCAGCGAGGTCATTAAGAGAAGGCACATGTGAGTGACGTGGCATCGGGGCAGGTGTCCCATGACCCCGAGGCGCTAGGAAAGAGGGCGAATGGTGCGCCCGTCCTCAAACCGCTGCCGTCCTGCTTTGTTCTCACCTTCAGACACGGGCCCCCGCCCATTTGCCACAAGTGCCCCAGAGGGACCCCAGCAGTGGGCAGATGTGGCATGCATCTGAGTGGGTAGCCCAGCTAGTGAGGGAGACCCGTGTGCTCTCGTGAGCGGCTTAACTACTGTGCTAAGCAGCTCGGTCAGTTCGGGGTGACCATGCTCAGTACTGTGATTTTTATAGGTTTTTAAAAAAATCTTTTTTTTTAAGTTTTAATTTATTTTTGAAACAGAGACAGAGCATGAGCAGGGGAGGGGCAGAGGGAGGGGAGACCCAGAATCCGAAGCAGGCTCCAGGCTCCGAGCTGTTAGCACAGAGCCCGATGTGGGGCTCGAACTCACAGACCGCAAGATCGTGACCTGAGCCGAAGTCGGACGCTCCACCAACTGAGCCACCCAGGAGCCCCTGTGATTTTTTATAGCTTTAACCAAAGAGTTAGAAGTGACCTGAAAGCATCTGGAATATTCTGCATGCACAGAGCCACACTGAATCAGCACACCTAATGAAAAAGGAAACAGTGACACTTAAATTAATGATAGGTTCTGGAGCTCTCCGAGGTCGAGTTGAGAGAATAAGAGACAATACCCACAAAATGTGCACCTTTGGAGAGCAGGTGGGCAAGCAGTAAACTGATTTAACAGACCCAAGAAAATGGCTTTTTTTTTTTTTTTTAAATATTACAGAGACAGCAAGAGTCGGGGAAAGGGGCTAGAGGCAGAAAGACAGAGAATCCCAAGCAGACTCCATGCTCAGCAGGGAGTCTGACACAGGGCTTGATTCCACAACCCTGGGATCATGACCTGAGCCGGGATCAAGAGTCAGCTGCTCAACTGACTGAGCCACCCAGGTGCTCTGAAAATGGCATTATCTTAAACTGATGGGGAGAAGCGAGCTGTCTGCAGCTCTTCCCTTTCCCCCCCGGGTCAGGAAATGTGGTGACAGGCCCTTCTGGAAGTGGGGGTGAAAGCGGGGCCAACAGCAGGCTGCTGAAAAGCCTAGTTAGTAAGCAACTTGTCCACAGTTGCTCTTACACAGCTCGTGACGGTGTCCCTTGAACTTGGCAGGGCCCTGGACTTTCATGTCTGGATAACGTCGGTACAGTGGAGGGCAGGTGCTGCCCAGGAAAGAGGGGGGTTAAGGGAGGACGACACTGAAGGTCCTGTCTTCTTCCTCTGCTCAGTTCCTGCAACACAGGAAACCAGCTGCATCCCTCCCACGGAGGAGACCAGGGTTCCTGACACTGGAGGCTCCTGATGAGTCCCCGCCCCCCATCCCCACCCGTCCAGCCACCAGCAAGGCCCACACAGGGGACAGGCCACCCCCACACGTGCACGGTTGTCAGTCGGCTTCTGAAGCCCACCCGTACAGATGAGGAGACAGCCAGGGATCACCAGGCTTCGAGCAAGGCCTTAGAGCTGAAGAGGCTAAAACAAAGGGAAAAAATTTTTTAAGGAAACACAGACAATGCAGAGACAGAAAGATGGACAGGTGTATGGGCATACATGCACAGGTACACAGTGCACACACACACACACACACACACACACACAGAGAGAGAGAGAGAGAGAGAGGCGGGGTGGGGGGAAGGAACTTTACCCCATTGACATTCCCAGAGTGATGGGAGAAGATACAACTACATCCATGAAACAGGGACCAAATGGAAATGTTATTTTAAAAGGACGAAGAACAAGACAGTCCTTCTGAAAAATAAAAAGATTAAATCAGAAATAAGAAATTCACACAGTCACAGTAAGAGAAAGGTGAAGAAATCTACAACAAAGATGGAGCCGGACAACGAGAATGGATTCAAAGAACAGAAATAAAGGACGAGTCTGGGACGCCGAACACTCACATAACAGGAGTTCCAGGAAGACGAACAGTGAAAGTCTGGAAGCTGAAAGCTGAGACTTTTTTTTTTTTTTTTTTTAATTTTTTTTTTTTCAACGTTTATTTATTTTTGGGACAGAGAGAGACAGAGCATGAACGGGGGAGGGGCAGAGAGAGAGGGAGACACAGAATCGGAAACAGGCTCCAGGTTCTGAGCCATCAGCCCAGAGCCCGACGCGGGGCTCGAACTCACGGACCGCGAGATCGTGACCTGGCCGAAGTCGGACGCTTAACCGACTGCGCCACCCAGGCGCCCCGAAAGCTGAGACTTTTAAGACTGTCCTGGGGTCCATCGCGAGGATGTAGCCTAGCGGATGAAGAAAGACCCACTGGGCACGGCATCAACGATGCTGGAGGCAGAGACAAGATTCTAGGAGCTTCCAGCTGTAGACTGTAGACTGTAGAAAGCTAGCACCAAGAGTTAGAAGACATAGGGCACTGAGTTAGGAGGGAAACTGGTTTCTGTCCTAGAACTCAGAATCGAACGGTCAATCCAGTGTGTTGGAAGAAAGACATCTTCATACGTTCAAGGCCTCAGAGGATTTCCTTCCCATGCATACTTTTTCAAGAAGCCTTTGGGGGTTTACTCTGCAAAGCAAGGGAGTCATGGATGAAGAAAAAGAAAGACACAGGATCGATCTTAGGAAAAAGGCACGGGGAATCCCTGAGAGGGGTAAGGAGAGATCCCGGGAGGGCCGAGACAGGCCCACGGGTCAGGTGATCTTCCCTGGAGCTGGTCGGAATAGGGTATGTAAAATGGTCTGAACACATGATGGGGTTTCTGCAATGAAGGGAAAATGGGGGAATAAGTTAGTGGCAAATACACAGAAAGCTGAGAAAAATTATAAATAGGACAGTGATGAGGTCCAGGAAAAACTACAATTTTTTTTTTCAAGAAATGGAAGGAATGAGGCTCAGCGGTCAGAGTTTGCCTTAGTCGGAGCCCATCTAAAGAGCTGCGGGGTCTGGGGCCTGGGGTTATGAAAAGTGGGGAGTGGGCAGCCTAGGGGAACGGCTATTGTCGGTGACAATCCCTAGAGAACCGACTTTTTAAAACTCTGTGTGTGTATAATTAACAAACCCTGAATTAAAAGATGTAACTATATAACTTTGGCAGAGAATGCTAAAAACCTGCCAATTCCATCCAATATTTCTCTTCCTTAAGGTGCAAGTGATTCCTCTTTAAAAGGAAGGTGAATACATTATAAAATGAATCACCATCATGTAAAAGCAGAACGCTGAGATGTCAGAATATAAGATCCTTCAGGCTTTGGGTAAATTGAGTTTCATGGAATTAGGCTGGTCCCATTAACCATGTCATGTTGAAATGTTTTCTCAAATACCCTGGAAGATCTATTCTAAAAATGTTTCACCTTATCATCATGTGCTCTCCAGCGTCTGGAAAGAATATTCCATCGCTTTTCAAAACTGACAGGTATACAATCACTTAACCCTACTGCCCGCTGTCAGCACTCACACCCCGTTTTTTGACATGAAGGGAAAAATACTTCCTTAATTCCAGTAACTCAGAGCTCAGAGACTTTATTAACCCAGCGGCCTGGACAACTGGCCATGTCATCTTTTCCCACTGCAAAGCCGCCAGCCTGAAGTGGTGAAGTTCACACCTCTAGTTCGGGGGCGAGCTCTGGGGAGGCGGTGGGGAGCAAGTGCACGCAATCACAACTTCAAAACCACACCGAGCGCGGGATGGGGACACAACTCACTTCCCTGAGGAAGAGGGGGGACATCTGCCCTTCCAAACACCTTCCGGTACAGCATCGCCCCCAAGTCTGGACTTGCTTTGTGCCTTAGGGCATATGGAGGGTAAGCCATCCTGGGTCTTGCTTAAAGGTTGGAGGGAGATAACCAGGGCATATTCTCCGAAGAACTTAAGCTTTCGGGAGAATCACCAGTATGCTGTATTTACGTGATGGTGATTATCTGAACGTGAGATAAAGCCAACCTCTCTGTTTTGTAAGTCACTGGAAGGTGGTCTTTAAGTTTCAACAAACCGAGGAGAAAGGAGGGTGTGATCGTCCGTCAGAGAGGACGGTACAAGCGAGCGTGTGCGGTAAGGGAATTCCTCTCTCTTGCTTCTCCACGTGGATAATGTCCACCTGGCAGCTTTTTACTGCCTTGGAGGAGATTATCAGTAACCTCTGAAGGAGATGACCCATCTGTGTCCGGAGGACACAGCGACAGGGACAAGTCACACGAGACACTTACGTAACTATCAAGTACTTGGACGAGTGGCCACAGTTCTGGTCCCTTGGAAATCAAACGTGCAGGTCTGGTGGATCTCTAATAGAGCCTCCCTGGAGGTGGCTTCATACTCCATTTCTAAAGTTCCGCTGCATTTACTTGGAATCACTGAACCCCTCTGGTCTCCATCCGGTATCTACCTGTGCCAAGCATATCTTACACGTCCCTATCAAGGTCACATGCCACAAGGAGGCGCCTCTTCGGGGTTTTCAGTCCCACACACGTAGAGCCTAGACTGGGTCTTCTAGAACAAGAACGCTGTTAGTCTGGTCTGGGGCTTCAGCAATCCCAGGTAACTATTCAAAGAGAAGGGACACTACGTATCTTGATGCTCACTTCTTCCCCCCTCCCCCGTCCCTGCCCAAGTTTATAAATACGGCCCTTTGTCTCTGCCCTGCTTCCAGTATGAAAATGCCCCTTGCCTTCCAGCAAGTCCCTAAAAAGGCGACTGTCTCCTGCACTGCCCAGAAGGGAATATGTGCAACTTAGAAGTAGGTATGGTGGTGGTTAAAAGCTGCAATATGCACCTGCACGTCAACTTCCCTTAAGAATACTAATCAGATCATGGGGTGCCTGCCTGGGTGGCTCAGTCGGTTGGGCGTCCCACTTCAGCGCAGGTCATGATCTCACGGTTCGTGAGTTCGAGTCCTGCATCGGGCACTGTGCGGACAGCTGGGAGCCTGGAG